ACTGCTGGGGCACAGGCTTTCCCTATGGATGGAATAGGGAGATTGGGCTATGAGTCACTACGCGGGCATAGTGCGGATTGGCGGGTGCTAACGACTGCAGATGCAGCCAGGACCAACGGCTTAACGTGCCTTCCGAAGCACGGAGGAACTCGAGATAGCAGATTTTTTGACACCCATCTAGTGACCGACCACTGCGAAAATTTCGCCAGCCGGACGCGCTTTTCAATTGCATACAATTAATCAAAAAATTTGGCACACATACCCCTTTATTTATAAACGCAGAATAAGCTCTGATTAGTTACTCCATGTTTTGTCTCTGTTTGTTGAAGGACAAATGGCATTTGAGTGATATGAACCAAACATGTCGTAACTAGTCCAAGCTTAATCCTCGTTTGTTAATAAGAGGGATAAAGATTAAGATAAGTCATTAAAAATTTTAGGAAAGTGTTAAAATTAAAAGATCATTAGAAAGAATTCCAATTGTCTAAGTCACCTGGCTGGATATATTGAAAAGACACTTCAATCTCTGAAAAAACAATCGGTCTGTAAAATTGTTGAACAAAACTGGTTTGTTACTAATAAACAGTGGCTTTTCCTGAATATAAAAGTCGTATAGAATAAAACTTGTAGCGTATAACGAATGGTCACGACTTAGCAGTAAAGTTTCACGTAGTATCACCATTTACTATTCTCCAGATCGTAAACCCTGAGACCAGCATAGCACATTTCAGTAGTAATTTTTCATTAGATCACAAAGCTCTTTTATATGGAATTGGGGATGTAGTTTTTTTTAGGATAAAAGGTGGATTTACCATAAATTTATTCAAATATACGATGTAAAAGCTCTGGAGTACTTAAATTTTAAGCAGTATTTAATACAGCACTCATACGTACAGAAATTAACCCAGATAAGGCTGAAAGTTTTTTTCGGAAAATCTTTGAATTTAACTTAATTTTTTAGTTGAATATGTATTTAAGAAAATGTAAAAAACATTGTAATGCGATTTTCAGGAAAATAGCCTAAACATGCTGCAGTAGGATAATAAGTAGGCAATTGTGAAAAAAATAAGATTGAATTATGCATTTATATCTCTTATCTATTAGACAAGTCCGTCCGTCCGTCTGTGGTGCCGTTTCAGCGGCCAAACCGTAAGAGATAGATAAAGAGAATATTTAAGTTATAAGTTAAGAATAGTCTGATAAGACTACAAACCGGATTTGAGTAACGTAGCACTTCCGGTTTTCGAGAAATCACGAATTTCAAACGAAACCACACAAAATCTCCGAAGTTCTCAATTAATTAAATACATTTTTTTTTTAAATCAGGTTTTGGTGAACATTTGGTTCACTGGTTTGCTAGTCAAATATAATATGCATTAAATTCAGTGTTATTATTATTTACTGATACATCGTAATAATTTTACTTGATAATGCATGAGGGATAGGCTTGTTGAAAATATATCGATGTATCGATATATCGATATTTTTTGTGTGATATATCGATATTTTTTGCCGATATATTTTGATTCGATATATCGATACAAAATAACCAATATCGAAATTCGTATCGAAAACGATATTTTTTTAATTATTAGCGGCATATCACGATCTAACTAAATTCGTATCTGGAAAAATCGTAACTAGATCTCAGATTAATGATATTCAACATATCTATGATCTGTGCTGTATTTAGTATTGTCTATTATTTCTAAATCTGTTTCGCTGGTGAATTGGTTGTGCTGATTTCCATTATATTCTGTGGAAGTGTGTGACTGTCTAGTCGTGTTTATGAAAGATGGCACCTGAGAGGCCCTGGCATTGGCATTTTCATCATTCGAAAATAGGGTATTTTTTTAGGGAGATAATTTTCGTGCCATTATTATTCCGCGTGTCATATTTCGTGAGATACTGTACTGTCATGTAGCGTAGCGGCAATTTGGTACTTTAATAATTTTTTCTTTAATTATAATTTGTATTGAACTATTATTACTATGCTAGGCTGACCTAAATATATTTTTGGAAAAATTGGCCCGATATATCGATATTTTATTTCGCGATATATCGAAGCCGATATTGATATTTTTTAAAATATCGATGTATCGATATATCGATATTTTTTTCAACTTTCGACATCCCTAATGATGGATTTTGAAATATGTAACCAAATGTAACATACTCCCTTATCACATTTTTTGTAGTCAGGCCATCATGACCCTGGTGACGATGGGTTTGATTCGACCGTGGAACACCTAATATGATTTTGAAATGTTCAAATTCCCTTTTGCTCTTGTTGGGTCTGCAGGGTTGGTCTTCTCTATCTGTCCGCTCAGAAAAATGCAAATGTCATAAAAAGACTGGACAATATTTGCACCACGATCTAATTGTCCTTACACCCATCTTACACCTCAGATTGTTTCATTGTAACACCTTGTTACGGCTCAATCTTCGGAACATATTTAAGATCCAGCCCATAACAAATTGCCGGTCTTTCCTAACATGTTTGCTCAACGTGGTTGCTTATTGCGGATTCCACAAGAAAGCTCAGAGACACACAACAAGCCGTACACATTACGAATCAGGAATGAGGAAATTTGTAAAAGATTTAAAATATCCTCTTTTGCTCTGCTGAAGTGGCAATGGACGGGTACGTAGCGAGGAGAACCGATTGCCGTTAGGGTGGAAAGGTACTTGAATGTCGAGCACGCACCGATGCTCAGTGGGCAACCTCACTAGGTGGACCTACAATCTAGAGAACGGCAGGGGTCTTCCGAGGTATTACGGGGACCCCGCAGACTTGTGCAGGATGGCCCGCGCGTGGGTGATGGGTACGCGGCCTAGTGCCCACCGTACCGCCCCCCGACCGATGCGGATGGCTATATGGGCGTACCCGTGTAGCGCCACCCCCCTTTGCAGGACAGAACTACAAGAGGGGGGCCGCCGTTCGAGTAGCAAAGGACCTGGGTGGAGATTCTTGGGGAAAGCCTATGCTCAGCGATTAGCGTCGTACTATATGGTCTGATATGATGAAGATGACCACCAGAAAAAATACGCTTATTTACGACGTCTTCAAAACCATGCAATAGGACGTTTGTCTTTAAAAGTATTATGAACTTCACAGGCCAATCGTTGATGTTTGGATATTTTATTTTTTAAGTTCGTCGGCATTTATCCTCGATTTGTAGAAGTTCTTCCTTCAGTATCCTTGAGGGAGTCTTGAAGGTGAAAATTGAGGATGTCTTGAAGGTGAAGATTGAGGATGTCTTGAAGGTGAAAATTGAGGACAATATGTTTCTTTGCAAAGTATTCAGAATATCATTATCCACCCATCTTACTTCTTTGTCAGCAGTACCTTCAGAATAAACACGAGTTCGAAGAATGTATTCTTCATCATAAAGAGATGATCCGCATCATAGATAAACGGTGATATACTTAAAATGCTCGTAATCATTAAATATGTTTTAAAAAATTATATGTGCTGCTAATCTGTAATATGCATTTTCTCCTTATTATTCTACTGTCCTAAATGTAGTACAGCATAAGTTTTATGTAGTTTGTATATATTTATTTGTTTCTTAGGTTTTCACGCACATCACTCATTAAATAAAACTAGTTTTTACGGGTTAATGCACGAAACTTTATTTATTTATTGACGTTTCGCAGCCTTTTCAGGTCTGCATCGTCAGAATAATGATTTTTTATTTAAAATTGTTGAGCTACCTTCGAAAGACTTATATTGAGCGTTCGGTTATTTCATTGGAAGATTTTTTAAATTTTATTGTCTATGTATGAATTTATTATTTAATTTACTTAATAAAGTATTTTATTTAAAATTCTTGTTTGTAATTTTGAGTTTATTTATTTGACCCTAACTACCGTAAACTACCACCGGTTCCAAAATTGGGAGACCTTCCTGAGAAGAACCGGCGAAACAAACTCAAGAGAGGCTTTCTATCTCCTTCTTATGTTAAATTATGCAAATAAAAAGAACTAATAGTATCTGATGGTCTTGCAGTGTGTGCTCGGGGTTGGGATTTTATCTCCTGTATAATAGGTTCCCAAGCTGGTGGTATATACCAACCATCTTCCCTATTGAAATTTGGATATTTTTTAATCTCAATAGCCTCGCGCATCATTCGAGGAACGAACAGCTGAGCGACGGTTCGTTCATCAGATACTATTAGTTCTTTTTGTTTGCATAATTTAACATAAGAAGGAGATAGAAAGCCTCTCTTGAGTTTGTTTCGCCGGTTCTTCTCAGAAAGGTCTCCCAATTTTGGAACCGGTGGTAGTTTACGGTAGTTAGGGTCAAATAGATAAACTCAAAATTACAAACAAGAATTTTAAATAAAATACTTTATTAAGTAAAATTTAAATTTATTTCTTCTTCTTAATCTTTATTAACTAAATTAAATAATAAATTCATACATAGACAATAAAATTTTAAAAATCTTCCAATGAAATAACCGAACGCTCAATATAAGTCTTTCGAAGGTAGCTCAACAATTTTAAATAAAAAAAACTAGTTTTATTTGTATATATTTATCACAAAATTTGTACATCTTTGATATATCTTAAAAAAATGAGGATTTTTTTTTTATAAATGCAATATAAATTTTGTCAATATTTTTTATAGACTCCTTTTTATTGTTATGTCTACAATTGACAATTCCTATACATTTTACAATGAAAAACTTAGAATAAAAACAAAATAATTCGTGTTTTATATTTTTAATACAAAGCCTCAAACTATCCTTTAAAATATTTATATCATTTTTATGGGCCTACTTATCTGCGTATTTCGTTTTTTTTATTGTACCGTCCTAAATATATGACAGTAGTTTTATATGGGTTAAAAAAAACATAAAAAGTCATAAGATAATGACATAAGTAGGTATGCTGAGAAAAGGTTTACGAAACAAGCTCTGTTAAAAAAATCACATTCTTAAATAAGAAAAAAAATGAAGATTAATAAATTTGATATTGCATTTATTTACTTTCAGACACCTTGTCGGTCCACTATTGCAATAGAGAGGTACAAGTGGCCGTGTCAGGGGAGGACAGCGAGGGATATATCCGAACGCCGGGGTATCCGAACTTCTACGTCGGCGACGTGTGCCGGTGGCGGCTGCGTGCGGATCCAGAGCAGCGGTTACGGGTCACACTCCTAGATGTTAGTTTGAGAAGTAAGTTAAGGACTTAGGACTCTGTACATAATTCTTTCCGTCTTATGGCGTGATAACATGGTCGCTAGCCCGAATACGAGTGCCAATGGAATTCGGGTATACGACTAAGTGTGAATGAACGAAGTTGAGGACGCCCGTATTCGGGTAGTTTCGTTTTGGTTACCCGACATATGACGTCTTCGTCGCCAGCTTCCGTACGTCTTCCAGCCAATATTCCAGTGTAAATATTACTTCGGGTGGCCGAATTCGAGTAATATAAAAAAAAAAATAGTAAAAAAAAATATCTACCGTCTTCCAGCCAGTATTCCAGTGTAAATATATTTTCGGGTGCCCGAATTTGAGTAATATCTTTCGTGCACCTGATTACGGGCTTATGACCAAGCGTAATTAAGCTAGTAGGATACGAAGCGCTGCTCTATGAAATAACTTTGAAGATCCTTCATCCATAAAAGCAGTTCGAAATCGATCAAATGACTCAGCAGGTTTTAAGCTATAATTAAAATCGTAAAAAATCATAGCACGAAAATGTTCTTGATGCAGATCGATTTTTTAATGAGACAAGAAAAATTTAATAGGCTCTCGAAAAAATGTGGAGGGAATTGAAAATAGAATAGTGGTATTTTTACTTTTTAAATAATAGAAGTTTTCAAAATAATTTCAAGTGGCCAGTGTCTTATAATACATAAAAATTTTTTTTCGTTAATCTTTCTGAGTGGATTGGTACATGTATGAATCATGTAGCATACAAAACTTGCATAATACTTGTTGGATACACAAAATATACGAAGTAAGCCGGGTCAGTTAGTAATTGTAAAAGGTGCTCATCAAATTTTCTATTAATAATAAAATAATTATCTATTCAGTACAATACTGCAAGCAATCAATTAAAGGAAATTAAAAAAAAACGGATACAAAGCTTGAACGTTATTTCAGTCAATTAAATTAATTCATTATCCTCACAAGATTAACCCTTAACTACTTTTCGGGATAACGTGGTTAGTGGCTTGGACTTCATTCCTTTAGAAACGGGTTAGCGGAAAAGTGGAAACTCGTAACGAATACAAAATGTTTTATTAAGCAGACCTGTACCGCAGTATTGGAGAAAGGGACCGAATATTGGATAAGTTAAATCGATTAAGCTATGTGTAAAAAGTTCGAGTAGGTTTTCTGAAGGTACCTATATACGTTCCGACTCATTGAATTGAAAATGATAAAGGAGGTGATTTGTAGGTATAATATTGCTTCTTTCGTATTCAGTAAACTCAAGGTTATTATTTTCCCATGGGAATTTCATAATCTTAAAAGCTCAAATCATTAAGTTTTATTTCTTACTGGGTCGGTAGGTATACTAGTTAGTATGATCAAATGCATCATGCATGAAACCGAAAAAGTCAAGGACAATGAAAACTCTTTTCAAGGTATGTACCTACTTTGAACAGCGATTCTTAATTTCACAGCTAAAAGGTGTAAATTGAAAATTATGCTAGCAGCTACTGAGATTTGCACAGGTACGGCTCTAAGCTCCAGAGTCTACATGCGTCGGAGCATAAAAATATATGTGAGGAATGAAATGTCATTTATTCAGTCTAGGCTGTTACAAGCACTTGTGAAGGTCAAGAAGCTACGCCATCGGTTCGTTTAACTACGGCGGGAGACCTTGTACTGAGAAGAACCGGCAAGAAACTCAGCAAGGGCTGTTTTTTTCTCCCTGTATTGTTATATGCAGAGTCGTAAAGTTGAAAAATTACTTCAGAGATACGTCTGAAGTCACCTTCCATTACATCATTTAGAATATGAATACCTATTTAGCTACAATAAATTTTATAGTTAACATTATATTTAGTATATAGGAAGCGGCATTAGATAGTTATGAAAAATGACTAATACCCATCAAATAAGAAATTATAAGAAACACTATGTCCATGCATTACGATCATTTAGATAATCATCAACTTTATAATAGCCCTTATTCATAAGAGTATTTTTAATCTGAGATTTAAATTTAGTCAGTGGAAGCTCAATCAGATCTTGGGGAACTTTATCAAACAATGCAATACTACAACCCAGAAATGAACCTCTTGATTTTTTGAAGTCTGAAACATGGAACGGCAAGCTTGTTCTTAAATCTCGTGTTAAAGTTATGGGTTTGAGTTTTTTTTGCAAATGCATCATAGTTTTTTCTAACATATATTAAATTTTCATAAATGTATTGCGACGCCAGTGTTAAATATTAATTTCTTTAAATTTTTCTCTAAGGGATTCTTTTGCCTTTAAATTATATATGGCGCGAACAGCTCTCTTTTGCAGGATAAAATAAAGAAAGAAAATTCTCCTGACTTATGTTATGTAGAGTTCTATTTTCATTCGATATTATGTAATGCTTTGATTATTTACTCAATTAAGACACAGAATACTTATAAAATTTTATATTCATGAGGGATTTTGCAAAAAAATAAAACTAACGCGAACGTTGTCGCAGGCGGCCGCTAGTTTTACATATTTGTAAGTAATCTGGTTTCCATCCACAGGTGTTGGGCCTTTCGAGGAGTCGTGCATGGATTACGTGTCGGTGCAAGACTCGAACGGTGATTCCTTGCTCTCATCTTGCGAGCAAGTTGAACTGCCGCTTCAATTGACATCCACCACTAATACTGTGGAGGTGTTAGTTGAAGCAAAATCGAAGGGTGCTTACCCCAAGCGAGGGGTATTGCTACATTACAAAAGTAAGTAATTAATTATAGAAAAGATTATTAAGACAATAGAATTTAAAAGAGATCAAAATATAAAAAAGCTTTTTAAGAGTAAAAATACAGTAGCGACATCTAGAAACTTTCACTAAAAGCTCCATCTCTTCAAGGTGTTGGTTGCGTCACGTTGCCAGCGCCATCTGACGGCTACCTCGTGTACCGCAACGAAGAGGTGGCGCACTACATGTGCAACGTAAACTACGTTTTCGCCGACACTCGACAGAGGGCGCGATTGCTATGGTGCTACGATGACAATAGATGGAATGACACAGTGCCTTTGTGTATCGGTAAGATACAAAATTATTATCCACGATTTTCAACGAACTTCCCTAATTTAAGTTATGTTGTCGATGAAACGCCTTTTAAAACTGAGTAAATAACTGTGTTTTTGTAAAACTACCGATTTTGCACCAGTAGTAAACTTAATGTTTCTAGAGGGTCCATAAAATAGAATCGAATGTTATAAACTCTATAAAAGCTCTGTTAAAAAAAGTCATAAAGCAGCTGTAAAAACACCGTTAACTGCGCCCTTCGTCGTAGGTAGAACTTGTCGATAACAACATAAAAACTTCTTTTGAGGTTATTTCATGGTGAACATAGGAAGTCCGGAAAGCCATGCACATGCGCGAGTGTTGTTAGCGCTCTCTATCACACGTGCAATTTGCCTACGGATAGAAGGGAACGGCATGATAAGCGTCGCTCACAACATGATTATTTACATGTTGTCAGTTGCGGCGTTGAAACATGCTTTATTGTGTGAAGCATTGGGACGAATTCGAGTTGCCGAGGGCTATTATTATTTTCATAGTGAACTAAAGGACTCCGTTCTTCACTTCAGTCGCGTTTTGGTAAATAGACGATTAATCTGCGTTTGGACTCCGCTGTGTTCAATCGACTGTTCCGAATTCGAACGTTTGTCACTCGCGCGTCAGGGAGACACGTGTTTTTGAAGTGAGTTTCAGATTGTACGGTTGAAAATAAGTTGATTTATATTATTTTGTTGTGTTGTTTTCCCGCGGTTTTGTTTGGTTTGCAGTGGGTTTTATGGTGTTGTTTTGAAGGAAGTAACGTCTGTCGGTCGGGTGAGCTTTTATGGTTTCAAATCTTGTGAAGTTTTCAGCAGGATAAAAAAAAACGTGTGCATAATCTTCAGTCTTAGAGAAAACATCTTGTGATTTGATTTTTTAATTAACAATATAAGTAGAGAAGTTGCATGAACACTTACCTATTCATATAATATTAATTCGTAACGATTTTTAGATGCTTTTTAATTTATTAAATACAATATTGTTAAAAAAAATATATCACTTATCAACAATATCGAACGCAATACAATGATAAGAGCTCAGTTAGAAACAACAGTATTGTTATCGCAGAATATCGCTAGTTAGTACTACGTACTATGCAAATACGCTCTTGATTTTATTGAAATTTAATATAAACTTAACTTATTACTGAAATTGTTTAATAAATGATAAACTCTAGAATTGATTAGGTACTTGGGGAAACTAAAGCAAATTAGATATATCAATGAATAGGTACTTAGTTAAAGTCATCATTATCATCATCAGCCTATTAATTTCCAAAATTGGCCATGACCCACCACGCGGACCCAGTGCGGTTTGGCGGGCGCTAACGACTGCAGATGCCGCCGGGACCAACGGCTTAACGTGCCTTTCGAAGCACGGAGGAATTCGAGATAGAAGATTCTTGGTCACCCATCCAATGACCGACCACTGCGAAAGTCGCTTAACTTCAACGATTGCAGCCGAACGCGCTAATCTTAATCGTAATAAAAGTACTGAGGTTTATTAGATTAGAATCAACAGGCCAACATCCAACAACTTGTTGACTTGTTATCACACCATTAATGAAAATTTAATTGCAATATTGTTGAAGTAAGATGAATAATTTTGTGGTACTTAAACATGTAACAGTATATTCAAAATACTATATCGCCCTCTCTGTAGGTTTTGGAAACTACCAAAAAGCCAAAACATTGGCAAGTTGACCTAATGATAGGTCCTCGCAACCAAGATTTTAGTACAAGTTTTTTGGAAAGTCATCTTCTAACTCCAGAAATAACCTACGTAGGTACTCGGTATTGAACAAACTGTTAACTTTTTTCTTACAAACTTTTTGTAGCAGCATACTTAAAACATTTGGGCTTTTAAAAAAAATCGTGTCCATGTCAAATAATATTTCAGAAAAGAATGTAATTAACTACAAAGTTCATTACACTTACTTACCAATAAGTTTTTTATGAAATCTGAAAGAAACAATGTGCTGCTATTCCTCGGTTTGACGACATAAAAACCCGGTGTCTTCGAAAATGAATTTGCGAATAAATTAAAACAATTTAAACTTTTATTGATAACCACAAGGAAATCTATCAATTTCAGTTATTTATGATAATATAACAAGGTACTTATTAGCAATCGCGTAAGTAATTACGGGATAGCTAATATGCACCTTCTTTTTTTATATAAAGCCAGGTAGGCAATTGACTCTACCCCACCTGATGTTAAGTGGTGATAAAGTCCAAACGCGAAGAATTTAAAATCCAAACATTTTGAGCGAGCCCCCGATATTTCGGCAATGTTGCAAGCACAATGATCACGAAGTTATTGGAAATAACATAAATGAACATAATGTTAGTGACCATGAAAGTTCACAAATTTCGTTCAAAAAATCTTTTATAAATTTTCATTCAAATCAAATATGTAATTTGTTTGCTCAAATAACGTACAATAAAAGTTATTATACTTGTTTGTCGATTATATTTGGAACTTGATAATGTAGGCGTACAAATAACAGGTGTCATTAACTTTAGTTCCATTATATACCTAGCTGTTCTTCTATCTTCGATATTGAAAAATTTGTCGAACAAATTTTTATCTTCTATTATAACATATTAAACAATTAATTTCCTAAAATTTGTTTACCTACTTTAATTTCGTGTTTCAACGCAGAATTTCATGTTACTAAACAAGAAAAGTGTTTTAACGTAAAAAATAGTGTTTTAACGAAAAAAATGTGATGAAAGGAAAAGGTTCAAGATTCTTTAAGGCACCACGCAGTTAGCACATGTCTTACGAAGCTATTGTATGTCTTTTATGACTGGCCTATTTTAGGAAGTGAGTATTATATATCTTCAATATAATATATAAAACTACAAAAATCAATCGCTGTTCTGTTGTCTTGCTAAGACTCCAGAATGGCTGGGTCGATTAAGCTGATTTTGACTTTGAAATGTTTGTCGTAGTTTAGGTTTAAAACGGTGAGAAAAAATTTAAAAATTGCGAGGAGGATAGTAAAAGCATCAATTTAATTTTCCCATATAAACTGCTCTACCTTTCCTGTCAAACATTTGACGTTCATTCCTTCGGTATGGTAGACTTAGGTCCAACGCGACTATAACCACATTCGATCGACGGTTAGGTGGCTCGAAGTTTGCCAGCTCAACTAGTTTGATAAAGATTACTGAAAATTCCTGAGAAACCTTCAACTTTTCCGGGATAAAAAGTATTCTAAGTCGCAGTTCAGGTCATAAAGTACATGCGTACCATATTTCATCTAAATCCGTTCAGTAGTTTTTGTGTGATTGAGTAACTAACATACAAAAACACAAACATTCAAACTTTCAAATTCGTAACAGTTATATTAGAAAGAAGAAATAGCTGTAGCAGAATGATTTCAATGCCGTGTCCGCATTGAGAAAATAACAAAATTCATGGTCTTCTATTTAAAAAAATAATTCATTCATATCTTAGCAATGATATTAAATACCCTTGATACAACATCACGAAGAAAAGCGTGGCCGAAACCTGTCAGAAAGGTACATTGGACGATACACGAAGCTCCTTCTGATGATCGCGTAGTCAAAAACAATTTAAGGCATTATTTAAACATTCAAAGTCACCCTCTACCCGTAAGAACTGACTTGACTTTACGCGCAAAGCTGAATGCGCTGTAGCAATATAGCAGGAACGAACCGCGAGGAAAAGCGACAGCTATATTACCGCCTATGCATTTGAATATCACAAATATTTTCTATTTAATCAGTTTATAGTGAATATTCGAACATAATTTGCTTCAAATGCGTTAAATTAACAAATATTTATTAGATACCTGTCGAAAAAAGGAAACTTTACGTACTATAAGTATTTATTTCGCATTTTTCCACTGACTGACTGAGCTCTGCGGGAGCTTGACTTTTCAACGGTCCGCGCGTGACTGTGAACCAATAACTGCTCGATTCATGTTCAAGCACTTCTTGATTAGGACACATTTTGAGCGCACGAGGTGTATCTAGGGTATTTAATATCGTTGTATCTTAGTAGACGACTGTGTATTCAATAGTTATAGAAAAGAACGTATGCTATTTTTTTAAATATCTTCCGCCATAAAATTACATTCAATATACTTTAGCAATACTAGTAATTGTGAAGCAACGTAGATAAAATATCAAACGATTTATGCCTAAAAAAATCTACTCAAGTAACTTGAGAAAATTGTAAAAGTTTCCTTCAGCGGTCCACGATAAACAATTCACGACATCTATTGTACTGTAAGTAATATACAATATTCATATTATATTGAATAAATTTGTATACCATTATTATTTTGATCCGAATCCCAAGGTACAACAAAGTTACTTAAATCAAATATACGGGAGATAGTGTAGAAAAACAAAACAATATATAATACATATTCAACATAAGAAATCAGAGGGGCTTGAGTAAACTCAGATCGAGCTTGAGTAATCTCAGATCCCAAGGGCTATGACTCGAATCCCATGACTCGAAAATGCATTTCAGTTAAAAGTATAACATCAAAATTGACAATTTTGATAAAATTAAAACAATACACTACAGTGCCGATGAGTCTGTTGGCAAATGGTACGTAAAATAAAAAAATAAAACATTGTAAAACCATCAATCAGCGGCAAAGAGGATTAATGGTGATGGACGGGAGTGATTCCACTTTATTGAACATGCGGGCGTTAACTATGGTTAACTATTTGTTCCGTACAGCCATGTTAGGGCCATTTAAACCCTCAGTTTTAAACGATGACAAAATGTTTCAATGTTTAATAATAAGTAGGCAGAGGGAAGCTAGGTAGGATTCAGACTTGGTACTATTGGATAAGTTCTTGTGAATTTATACAGTTATTTCGTACTAGTGTGTGTTATTTTACCGTAGATTTATTTAGTATAGACACACAAAGATAAGATTTAACATAGTAGATGAAGAAGCCATATAGCCTTATAGTAAACTACAATAG